AGGAAAAGCTAGGAAGACGTCTGTATTCTTATGATGCAGACGTTCCGCACTTCGAATCCTTGTGTAACAGCCTTTACAAAAGGATTCCTTGTGTAGAGACCTTTCACAAGAATTTCAAGTGTGGGAGATCTGCAATGGCCTTTACACTTAGAATCCTTTGGTAACAGCCTTTTGCAAAAGAGATCATTTTGTGGCGGCCTTACAAAAAAAAGGTTTCCATTGTGGGGGGATCTGCAGTGGCGGCACCTTGAGCCCAGGAAAGCTATAGAGAAAAACAATAACACTATGAAAAACATAAAAAAAAACCCTTTACAAGGAAAATTGGAAACAGCTAGGAAGACCTGTGACTGTCAGTATTCGTATGGCGCAGACGTTCCACACTTCAAATCCTTGCGCAGCATCCTTTGTAAACGCATTCCTTGTGTGGCGACCTTACACAAGGATTCCAAGTGTGGGGGACCTGCAGTGGCCTTCACAAATATAATCCTTTTGCGGCAGCCTTTGCAAAGGGAATCCTTGTGTGGCGGCCGTTCAACCGCGTTTTCATTGCGGGGGGATCTGCAGTGGCGGCGCCTTGAACCCAGGAAAGCTAAAGAGGAAAACAGGAGAAAAAAACAAAAACGAAAAAAACGCTTTCGCAAGGAACAACAGGAAAAGGCAACGACACCTGTGACAGTCGCTGTTGTTCAAGGTGTTCCGGCTTTCCCATGTGAAAACATATATATATATTATGTACTGTTTGTCATGTTGTTCCTGTTTTCCTCCTCCCTCCACTGAGCGCCCTGGGGTCTCCGAACGGCCCACGGCCCCTCCTCGCAGCAGGACGGAGGAGGGGGAAACATGACAAACAATAAAACCCTTTGTTTCCACACGGAAAACAGGAAAAGGCAGCGAAACCTGTCACTGTCGCTGTGTTTCAAGTGTGTCTTGCTTTTCCATGTGAAAACACATGTGCTTTACTGTTGTTCCTGTTTTTCTTGTGTTCCTCCTCCCTCCCCCAAGCGCCCTGAAGCGTCCGAGCGGGCTACGAATTCCCCGCCCAGAATACGATTGCCTCGGCCCTATGGCCTCAGGTGGTTACCATTCGATTGTGATTGGGTGCTTTGTCGAACCAAAATTTGTCATAAAGCGGACCACCCCTCAGGCGGTTTGAACCCCAGACCCAATGGAGTATCGTGATGGTTGCTCGCCGAATCTGCTGTTGATCTAATTGTTTGCTACCGCGGGCTCCAAACAGTGGATTATTGAACAATCGATGTGCGCCGTGGGATGCAGTACATGTGGTGCTATATACGTGGTATAATATGTGGTGCGGCATACGCGGCGGAGTCTTTGGAACGGAACAATTGTGGCAACAACTATAGACGCAAGGTCTGTGGCACAAGTTACAGAATGCAAACTATGTCGCGTAGCCTATTGTTTGTAGCCTGATGTGCGCATTCTACATATCATAGATGTAAATATGTGTACCATGTATAACTGACGGACAGTCAAGCAAGTCATACATACCTGCATACAGACATGCATGCACACAGGTTACAGACCTACAATACAGATCACATACATACCTTCATACAGACATGCGTACCTGCAATGCGCACGTGTATACATACAAACGGATGGATCAGCCACCGTGTCTGCACGATGTGGGCATGTTAACGTATCAAATGCATGGCCTGCATGGTTTCTGGATGGCTTTTCCGAGTTCTAAGAATGCCCCCCCCCCCTCCCTGCTTGCGGACGAGCGCATGCACCCCTCCTACTCCCGAGGACACCAGCTCCCGTAACAACCAAAAACGTGGATCCCGCCATGCCCCCTCGTAACCAAAAACAACTATGCGTCCGAGTCCCAAGCTTCCAAGGCGGCCCAGACAGGCCATCAAGGCGACCACGATGGCCCGAGATGCCTCGAAGATCGACCAAGATGGCCCCAAGGCCGCCGATTATAGCTTCATAGCTCCCTGAGATGCCTCCAAGGAAGGCCATAAGGGCCACGTGAGGACCCCCAACAAGGTGCGAAGAAGCCAGAATCGTGGATATCCCAAAATGGTTCGAAATACTTATGCGTTCTCTCATGTTCTGGTTTCCGTTTGGCACGGTCGGCTTTCCATTGGCTCCAGACGGCCCCAGGAATGTGTTCCATACCCTCCTGCATTGGGCGCACGGTGTGTATAGACCACTGCGGTCGCACACCTTCTTCCGCCTCCCGCCGCCCGTTTCCTCAGGTGCTATGCGAACTTCGGTGGGGCTCCCTGGGGCCACGAAGCGGGTAAGGGGTGTGCCGAAATGGGGCGGCGGTGCCATGCGAACCCTCCCACTGGGGCCATCGGTGGAGCTCCCTCTGGGATCGCGAACCGTGTGAGGGGTGTCGAAATTGAGGGGGCACGCAAGGATAGGGAAGATGGGATGATGGGATGATGCGATGATGAGATGATGGGATGCTGATGCTGATGATGCTGAGGATGGCGATGATGATGCTGACGATGATGATGATGATGATGATGATGCTGATGATGATGATGATGATGATGATGATGATGACAGATGATGATGATGGCGATGACGATGATGATGACGATGATGACGATGATGACGATGACGATGGTGATGATGATGATGATGATGATGATGATGATGATGATGATGATGATGATTGGTGATGACGATGATGGTGTTGATAATGATGTTGGTGCTTACCGAGAGAAAGAAGCTGCTCATTCTCATTAGCAGAATGCTGATGCTGACGACCACGGTGCTGATGGTGATGGTGGTGATGATGATGGTGATGATAGTGATGATGACGATGATGCTGCTGATGACGATGATGATGATGATGGAGGAGGGAGGAGGGGAATGATGAGGAGGAGGGAGGAGGAAGGAGGAGACGCGGAGCGCTGTCTCTTCAAAACGATAACCCAACACCACAAGATGGTTGGGAAAAATGCAAACGAAAGGCAGGCACAATATGCCCAGGATTGCGGGAGGTGACAACAAAAATGTTAGTGATGCTGCTCAGAGAGGGCCCAAAGAGGTTTCGACAGGCCAGATCGGCAACAAAAACACACAAATGGTACGCGATGGTTGGCTGTGCGTCCGATGATCATTGTAAAACGCATTCCAATGAGCTCCTCTGGCCTTCCATGTGAGTCCCTGCCCATATGTTCCTCTGGCAATTTCAAGGAGAATTCGGGGAACACGCCTTTGGAAAGCTACCGTGCGTCTGGCGATCCAACGATTAGCCAGCCGCTCTGCAATTGATCGGGGGGGTCTGAATATAGGCAGAAATGAACGGAGCGCGCGCCTGTTCCGTGACGCCGCCGCGGAGATGGCAATTGTGTGAACAATTGGGGCCGCTGGCGACAGTGACGGCCAATATGACGATGAGGGCCAAGATATTAGTGTTGCCACCAGACGCGCTCCCGCCTTTCCCCGATCCCATCCTCCCTCCCTTCCCCTACCCGCCCCTCCTCCCTGAAGCCCCTTCGAGCTCCATAGCATATGCCACCGCGCGAAACACGACGCACATGGCAAAAAAAAACCAAAAGAATAGTTTAGAATGCGAGGAAGGAGCTCCGGCCGACCAAATGACTGGATGGAACAAAAGCTGCACATAAATGAACTCTGAGAGGTCCGCGCGGTGTTCTTGGAGGAGGAGGAGGAGGAGGAGGAGGAGGAGGAGGAGGAGGAGAGGGATCGGCGGTGGGCCCCCCTCCCCCGGGGCGCTGCGCGCGCCAGGGGGCGGCGCGGGAGGTGCCGCTAAAGGGGGGCCCACCGCCGACCCGAGAAATATCCGCGCGGAGCTCCGAGCAGTCACGTCTGGTGCCGTGCTTCTGCTCTTCGAGGTTAGCTGGCGAAGGGGGAAGCTTCGGCCCACAACCGACCTCCCCTCCCCACTTCCGCTCCCCCTCCTCCCTCCTCCCCTCCCCCTCCTCCTCCTCCTCCTCCTCCTCTTCCTCCTCCCCCTCCCCCTCCTCCTCTCCTCCTCCTCCTCCTCCTCCTCCTCCTCCTCCTCCTCCTCGAGGTTCGAGGTTAGCTGGCGAAGGGGAAGCTTCTAGGGGCAAAACAAACCTACCTCGCTTTTGACCACCCTCGCTTCCAAGAGATACCAATCGATGCCAAACCACGGCCTGTGCTGGTCAGGCCGCCTGACGAGGAGGCGCGTGGCATGACTTGGTTTTGCCTGGAAGCGAAAGCGGGGTAGGTAATTCACGCTCTGAGCTTCGGCCCACAACCGACCTCCCCTCCCCACTTCCGCTCCCCCTCCTCCCTTGCGTCAGGCGCGATGCCCCAGAAACGGCCCAACAGGACCACGACCACACGGGGGGGAGGGGGGGGCGGCGATCCCATCCGCGAGGCCTTCGCAAGGGGTCAAGGGCGTACGCACCCATCTGGCAGGGTTGGGGGGGGCCAGAGCCCTGGATCATATGTGCTCTTCCCCTTGGGATTCGTGTGGCCTATCCCCACCTGGGGTGGTGGGCTAGTGGACAGGAGATACCATGGCCCAAGGGGGGATGGGGATCGGTGGAACGATACTGATTGGACCAAAAAACAAACGGCACCACCCCACCTGCGGCCCCACGGGCCGTAGCGAATACCAGGACATCTGGCGTGGGATTTTGCATGGTATACGCTACGGCCCCCGATGGGCATCAGCGCAGCATGGAGGCCTTAGGTGGGGTGGCGTCGTTTGGTTTTCGGTCGACCGATCTCCCGTGCGAAAGAAAGCCGGTCTGGGATTCGGCTGGCGCGTTGGGTGGAACCTCCTGGGAGCGGCCCCCACGGAGGAGCGGCCATCGAGGGCCGTGCTTCCTCGTGCGCTCGGGGTCGGCATGGCGCAGATTGCGCACACGAGCCCCCTCGAGTTGCGATGTACAGTCAACCAGCATAGTGAGGATGCGGGATAAGGATGCAAGGGCCTTGGACGCCTGTTTCGAAGCTGCTCGAGCGGGGCGCGGCCAGCGAAAGCGGCGGAGTATGGACCGAGGAGGCAAGGATGCAATGCAAGGGTACCCTTGGGAAGGTTGCCAATCCTTACTATGCGGATTGACTGTATGCGGATCCGTGTCCATCGATAGCCTCCGCCTGAGACAGGTGTAGTCCAGTTCAGGCCACACTGGGCGTCTCCGAGCGGCAGGGGGGCCGCGGTGATTCGCCGGCGGCGTCTTGAATACCATTCCGGAGGGCCTCCCGCATCTGCTCCAAGTTCTCCTCGCTGAGCTGCCCCTCCACCTCACCTCGGGCATCGGAGAGCGCGGAGCCCACGCCCTCGTCGAGTGCCGAGGCTGCGGTACCTAGCAGGGTCGCCATCGACTCGCACGTGATGCAGACGTGCAGGAGTGGATCGCCTCCGTCCCGAGGGTTCGTATTGTCCTCGAGCTCGAGCACGCTCCTGAACAGCTCGAGGGTATTGCGCGCCGTTCTGATCGCGTCCGGAACCTGGGCCGTGCCCTCCAGGATGCCTCTTATGCTTGTGACGAAGTCGGATGTTGCCTCGAAGCTCTCTCCTATGTCCTCGAACCGTCCGGCAACGTGGTCCACCATGCTCAGGGTCCCGTTGACCACCCTGGCAGACGTGCAGGCCAGGTTGTCCACCCCGTGGGACACGTCGCCGTAGGCCCGCAAGGTCCTGCCCGCAGAACAGACAAGCAGCACGCCGCCTGCGCACATGGTGAGGCAGGCGAACACGCTGAAGCATCGGTGCGTTTTCGGGCCGCGGTACCGCTGGTAGCAGCCAAAGGTGCTGCACAGACAGATCGCCAGGTGGCAGCAGGGGAACACGGTGAGCATCAGGATGAGCATGACCAGTCCAGTGCACATCAGCAGTGACGACTTCAGCATTGACCCTTTTAGTGCGAAGAGGTTCCCGACAATCGAATCACCGACGTGTGTGCTGTTCAGCGTCGTGAAGACTAAGTCCTTAAGCGCACCCCCCGTCTGCTCAAGCTGAACGCGGGCTTCACTCTTGTCAACCTCACCGTGAAGCCTGCCGGAGCACCTCTTTCCGATCGCGACCTGGGCGTTGAGCACTACGTCCTCGCTGCCCGCCGCGCCGCCCGGCAGGAGGCTGACAACCGCTGCAACGAGGGCACAGAAGGGGACCCGCCGCATCTCAGCCGGTGCCGCATGTCGGCCGAGCTGGCTGGGCAGCGAACAGCGGGGGGCGTGGCGCTGGAGCCAAAGTGGCTGCAGAGGGAGGTGTGGAGGAGCTGAAGTAACGTGGGTTAGAGAGAGTGCGACCCACAGAGAGACAGAGAGACAGAGAGATAGAGAGGGAGAGAGAAAGACAGAGAGAAAAAGAGTTGTTTGCTGTGCACCACTGCCAGTCAAGCTTCCGAAGAGCTTGCCGAGCAAGTGAGAAACAACTAATTATAAGACGATGAAAGTGGTATCGACTGCGCTCCCCCAGTCTAAGCACTTCTTCTTGGGGGGGTGCGGAGGGAGCGAGAGAGAGAGAGAGACAGAGAGAGAGGAGGGAGGGGGCGAGAGAAAGAGAGAGAGAGAGAGAGATAGAAGCACACACAGAGACAGAGACAGAGACACAGATGCAGAGTGGGTGGATGTCTGTGTGGCAAGAAGGAGCAAAGCGAATGGGGCCTGGGACACAGCAGGGAAGCAGGAGAGGAAGCAACAACGCCCGCTGGCACCGACGTAGCGGAACAGGTAGGGGCAGGACAGGGAGATGATCGACAAGCTCTTCTCGTTGAGGAAAAAGTCCAAAACCTCACTTGCGAAGGCCGGAAGACGAAGGAGAAGGGGAGGGAGAAAGAGAGAGAGAGAGAGAGGAAACAGAATGTGCTGAAAAAAAAGAAAGAGAAAGAGAGAGGGAGGGGGGCGATTAGCGGGAAGATTGACCACCAAGGAGATGTGAAGACGACGACAAAGACGACGGAGGCTGGAATAGACAGGAGGATCGCATAGGGGAGGCAAGGGGGAGAAGCTGGAAGGAGAAGACATGGAGGGAAGAAAAAGAGCTGGTGAGGGGAGAAACAGGAGGAAGTTGGAGCAAGCGAAACATGGATAAGGGCGAGGGGAAAGACATAGAACGGGGATAGACTGAGGGACGAAGCTTGATTTTCTTCGAATCCTGGTAGCTCCACCTCTTTACTCATATCAAGGGTGGGGCAGCAGCGAGCAGTGGGAAGAATATGGGGAATCACTCGAGACGACAATCAACCGAGAGGGCACGCGGCTTGAAAGCCCATGGGATGCAACGGGCATGCAGGAGCTCATGCTCTGGCTTCCAGCGCATGCTGCTGGAGAGGAGGGTCGGGAGGAGGAGAACGGAGACGGGCGTGAAACGCCGATGACCCACGAGCCGCATGTCCAGAAGAACCAACAACGGCACGAGCACAGACTTCGGGGGGTCCGCGCGGGTCTCTCGGGTCGGCGCTGAGACCTCCCCCTCCCCTGCAATGCTCTACTCCCTGGTTCGATGATTTGAATACCTGTTGAATTGGGTGTTTCCTGGTCGACCCGGGGAATGAGCAGTGGCCGGAAGAC